CCAGCTTGGCCTCTGAGTTGTGGTTGGTCCCCAGCTTGGACTCTGAGTGGTGGTTGGTACCCAGCTTGGACTCTGGGAGGTGGTGTAGGTGGTTGTAAAATCACTCGAAGGAGAAGGTGTTCCTGTTGGGATGAGGCCCACCTCGCCCAGGATCCAGTCATAGTAGTACTGAGTTGAGGTGGAGATTGCAGGCTGCATGGGTCTCCCGCAGCCTTTTCCCCAGCTGTTCACTCCGACAATCCAGAAGAAGTCAGTGTTGTTGGCTTTGCACATGACAGGACCACCGCTGTCACCCTGCAGTGGAGCAGAGAGGATGAAGGTGGTGTTGGGTGGCCCCTGTCAGCACTGGGGCTGTCTCCTTTTCGCCCATAGCCCCTGCCAGAGCTGTATTCATGGCAGAGCAAAGGTGTGCTGAAGAGCAGGAGCCTCCAGAATTCTAGGACTGAGTGACTAGAATGCTCCTACCTGGCAGGTGCCAACGCCTCCCTCTGGGTAGCCAGTACATAGGTGGAATGGCTGGAGGATCCCATTTTTCCACTCGCTTCCATTACAGACCTGGGTGTCGATGAGGCTGACCTTGGCCTCCTTCAGGACATTGCTTGCTTTTTTTTCTGTAAGCATAGAAAGGAATGGGCATCCAGCAGTTCACTGACAGTTCTCTCCTGCCTGGAGCGATCCCATTGCCTAGAGCTTGGCCTTTCCTCTGGAAAGGCATTGGAGCACTGTGTCCCTGCTTTCTGCCTTTGGGGAGCAGACCAGGCCCATCTCCTCAGAGACATATGTCCCACAGACAGGCTGACTCTGGCTTTGGCCTCTGCTGTCTGGAAGCCCAACCCATCTCCCCATCGTGCTGAGCTTGCCCTCAGGGCACGAGTCCCCCTTGGGAACTCACCTCCTTCAAAGGTGTCACCCCAGCCAGCAACATAGCAGGTTTGCAGCTCTGACAGTCTCACCGTGGTGTCGGCCACACAGCGGATCTGGATGTAGGCACTGCACCTGACAGGCTGGTCCAATTTCAGCAAGGCAATGTCATTGAACTCGGGACCAGGATAATAGTATGGGTGGTACACGAGCTTCTTAATCCGGCGCACTTGTGCCCCGGGGCCTGGCTGACTCAAATCGGTGGCCCCGATCACCAGTTTCACAACCTTGATGTTCCTAGAGGACATTGAGAGAGGGGTGAGAGGGACAAGAGCCATGCAGTGCAGCAGCCCAGCAGTTCCCAGGCTTCTGCTTTGCAAGGCAGAGAGGAAAGCAACACTACGGAGAATGGCTTCCCTCGCATGCCTCAGGCAAGCGGGAGGCTGCTAAGAAGCCCTGGCAAGAGCCCAGCGTTCTCCTAAGCAGACCCTCTGGGCACACTGGAGGACATGGGATGGGAGTAACACGTGCTGCTGGTGCCAGGGCGCCTGCTGGTGTTGTGGGGATATCCCCATTCCCTGCTCCTCCTTACTTGATCTGGACGAAGCAGTGGGCTGCTGTGAGGACCCACTGTGGGCTGATGAGGGATCCTCCGCATAGGTGCCCATTGCCTGGAGCCCAGGGATGCTGGATGCTGACCATCCAGGG